GAACCTAAAAACTATCCAACGCTACGCACAATCTTACAAACAATGTAGAACAAGAGAAGAAGCAACAACGAAATCCTTATGGGCGATATGAATGCAAACCGAAGAAAACGCACCAGGCTCTCACCGGAAGAAATGAATGGTAACGGAGGGCTCTTCGCAGACTTCTGTGCTTTGAATGATTTGGTGATCAGGACAGTGTGTACAAGCACAAGAATATACACAAGGTCAGCGACATGGATTTCCCCTGACGGACACACCACAAATCAGATAGATATCAAACTCAATACTGCTCAAAGAAGTGGAGACGCAGCCGTCTGGACACATAGTCGAGAAAGGGAGCAGATGTGGTCTCAGACGTTCATCCAGTTGAAGGAGTCTACGAAGTAAAGTTGGAAGCCTTCACAACAACCAGACAGACCACTGTAATTCAAGTTCAACCTCAGAAACTGAAGGAAAACACCACAAGGAATAACTTCAATACAGATCAGATCAGAGCAACGTCAGAGACACTAGGTGATATCACTGAGGAGATCTGTGTGGAAGAACATTGGAAATCTCTGAAAGTGATATTCAAGGAAACGTGTACAACTGTTCAGAGAAGAAAGAATAGAAAAAACGATATGTGGCTCTTAACGGACACAACTACCTGGAAGCTAATCGAGGAGAAGAGGGGAGAGAAGGATGGGGAAAGAGAAGGTGAATCAGTGAAAAGACGAACAACGGAATCAGAAACTGAATTCAATGTACATTGCACTGTATCGAGAAAGACATCAAGAAAGGTGCTAGGAGAGACAAAAGACAATTCTACGACACAATGGCTAACCACTGAAGCAGAACAGACAGGCTGCAGGTGAAAAAGACCTCAGAACATTATATCAGATAACAAGACTGCTCGCTATCCGGGGAGAAATCAACCCAGATGATGAAACCTGTGAAAGATGTGCTGAAAATTCCACACTGTACCACTAGTACTGTTTCTGGAATAAAGCTAATTATTATTTTTAAAAGAAAAAAGTATTATTATTATTATGTCGAAGGGAACCTGATTACCACGAAAGAGGAGAGACAAGTGAAAAAATGGGTTGATCACTTCGAAGGACTCTTGAATCGACCACCACCACCAACTGCAACTCGTCCAGAAATACTGACACCACCAACAACAGCACGCACTCAGCTGCCTGCCAGTGGAGTCCAATTCTTCAACGGAAGCAGAAATCTTCAATGCAATCAAGCTACTGAAGTCCGACTGGGAAGGCAACAGGACCAGACAATATCACACCACCTAACCAGCTCGGAGGCACTGGAAACGGACCCGGAGACTGCAGCAGATGTACTCACGCCATCATTGCATCTGGTGTGTGGAGAAGAAGGAAGGAGAAGTGCCTGACAACTGGAAGAAAGCCTGACTACATTGTCAAGCTACCAAACAAGGCTGACTTATGCCTCACTCACTCACTCTGTATGAACTGGCGTGGTGTCATACTCTCATCCACGTCAAGTAAAATACTAAGTTGCCTCATCCTGGTGAGAATGAAAGATGCACTGGATACAGAACTCCACCAGCCCACTTACCAGAACAATCTGGATTCAGGAAAGGCAAATCATGTGCTGATCAAATTGCATCTATACTAATCGTCACCGAACAAAGCATAGAATGACAGTCAAACATGTACCTCAACTTCACCGACTTCGAAAAGGGCTTCGACAACGTCAGTCATCGAGAGGTGATTAGCAAACTGTTTCGCTACCACGGGGTGGCGCCCATAATTATACACCTCATCCAACAGTTGTGCGGTAATGCTACACGCCAAGTAATCCACAACGGGAAACCCACGGAACCCTTCAAAGTTAAGACGGGAGTAAGACAAGGCCGGCTGCCTACTATCTCCAATGATTTTCCTGATTGATGGCGGTGGACTGGATAATGCAACAGACAGCGGATAACGAGGAGACAGGAATAAAATGGACCCACACGAAGAACTTGGTGGATCAGGATTTCGCCGGTGATGTCTGATTTCTGTTGGAAGAGAACGAAATGCAATAGAGACGTGTGGCTGAGGCCCTATGTTCCTCTAGGAATTGAAGGAAACAATGACAATAATATAATAATCTGGATATGAGCGCATGAAGAAATGTCACCAAACCAACAGCCTGTGTACTCACTACCGACGACCAACTTTTCCACTATACAAAGTGTTGCATATGGTTTGGATGACAGTGTTTCAAGACTAAACTGTGTGTTCAACAAACTCTAGTGATTAATTGAATGAACTAGTTAGTATTACATCCAAATCTTGAATAAGACAACAAAGATAACCACTGATGAATGCTTTTCGGTGTTATTTTTTCCAATGAGATTCACAGTTCTGTCCAGTTAAATGCGTATTTATCCATATGCATTTGAAAACCCCATGCTCTCAAGATTGATGAAATACACAGTTGATAAAAAAACAGAACGTAATGCTACAATGTACCTACTGGTGTAAATACCCTTACAAATTCAGAAAACAGTTAAGTACTTGTTTCACGAAAATTCTGCCCTTCATAGCAGTTAATTTCGAATAGCTTTGCCATTCGCTGCAATTTCGAGCGCATACTAACTATAAGAAAAACTTAGTGAACGAAAAAGACTAAAAGTTCGTTGTAACTAATGTGCTGTCAATCCCAATGCATGATTCGCTTCGGTCAATGGTGCATAAGACGCACGACCAGGTGCTTAGATTTCATATATTGAGAACAGTGGTGGATGATTGCCAACCAAAACTAGTACGTGACTGGCAGATCACCAATCACTCATTGGCAAGGTGAAGCATGTCTTCTAATACTGCTCATATCAAGATAGTTGCCGGATCGGAAGTATAGCGAGTGCTACCACTCTTTGTCATCTAGTTTTCGGGAATCATCCCTATTCTCCCTTCAATAATGATGCTACAAATTTACAATGCGAGTTTGCTTAAATTCACATCCTTTTTCGAGGTGTGAGAAGTTAGTTCAGATACTTTACTACATAGCACTTTCAGAGTTGTGTTCACTTAGATTCCATGAGCAAAATCCTACTTACTTCAATATCCCAAGTATTTCGAAACTCCTAGCGTCTCAGAAATTAAAGACTAGTGACATCATACAATACGCATGACGATCGATTTTCGGTACACAAACTAGAAATTCGGTAAAAGGTGGTTTCAGAATTTGTGGACAAATTCCTAACGGGCATCAAATGTGTAGCCATCACAAATCTAGTAACTGAAACTCTGAATTACATTGACACTCACTAGCCACACAAATTCACTGAAATGCCACAATAAGCAGTGAACATACCACTTCAATGCCTACTATTTGTTCTACTAAACTCTATAATCCTCGGGGATCATACAACCGATTGTGCACGGGACTATATAAAGAGATCAGATATAAGCATTCAGTCTATGAATACTTCGATATTGCTGTACACACAAGACATGATACTACTGGTTTGAACAGGCTAAGGATTGGTCAGGGTATTGGTATGTGAAAGCTAGTTTCGTAATCGGATATGCTGTAGCACACGTGACAACAGTAAGCACCAGTGTAATTTGTTTACACTGCTTTGGAGGTCTGAGGGCGATCAGATGTGTAACATGTCCTCCCCTTCAGACTACCAATAAGGAAGACATGCTACCTCTCAGCTCTAAGGGGAGAGGGGTTAGAAACGGTCTACCCCGAAAACTGTGCATCCCGACTTAACATGTAGTGGTCCGTGACCCACATGCGACTGCTGATGAATATTTTACTTGTTAAAGCTAGTCACCAAGAGAAATGCACAAGCGCTTAAAGGACGGATCAGGTTGCTCAACTTCTCCGAATCAATTGTTTTCTGAAAATACTTTTGATAAGAACAACGTATTGCTACCATTCATTTTAATAGGTCACTGGCACATAATTTACAGTAACATAAATGTACAAAAGAAACAAACACCACTATGACTGATTTAATCAAATGAAACCACATATGACTGCAATACACTCGAGAAGTTAAAAAGTAGTCCGTAATCAGCATGCTTTTATGACGCTGTTGCGAAGCCAATGCCAAACACATCACAATACCTTCCAACCCCAAACGGAGGAAGTTCAGCTCATTGACTGTCAACTACGACGTTGAAAGACCGATGGCTAACTTACGACTGTAACACGAAACGAAATTTTACAAACACTGTCTTTACTTCGTTACTTCCCGACCAGTTACACAAAGAGTCACATTAAACTTCAAGAAAGGATGTAAATTCATCACGAGTACATCCATAATTGTTAACCCATAGGCAAACTCGCATGTTTATACAAAGTGTCAGTGCACAATAAATAATAAGCACAGATCAAAATGTGAATGAGAGTAGGAAATCTACACACAAAACGTTTCAGAAGTGGACAAAACATAAAGAAACACAAGTGGAAGGTAAGACCGAAAAGAATAGTACTTCAAGAATCGAAATTCATCGCGACATACAGGGGTTTAATATGCAATTAATAAACATACACTGTTAGCGTGTAATGTGCAAAAGAAATATTAAGGATTGTAAATATGCACAAATGAAACAACCTAAGAAATAAGAAAAATAGAAGTCTACATTTCCACATAAACTCACGTACATGTGTGTGTGGAGGTTTATAGCATGGGACAAGATAGATAATACAGAATAAAGCAGGACGACAGTATTCAAGATATATTCTCAGACTAAAGTTATTAGAGTAGTAAAACAATCACAAAGTATCGACTGAAGACAAGAAATAAAGCAGTTCATTGGTCAATCAACAGCATAATTAGCATATTATTTTACAATAATTAATCATTTGACTGAGGCATAACTGAAAGCACATGCGTTAACAGTAATTGTGTACAAACAGAATATTTGAAGATAGAGCGCCTAGAAATAATGCAGGCATTTGATATTATGGGATACAAATGTATACATGAGCAGTCTCCAAATGTTTGGTCATAGGGCAATTTATTAAAACATGGAGTATGGTCATAAGTTCCGTAGTTCAGGGTTACCGGAAAGAATCTCGGCTACCAAGCCATCACTATCACTTTTTTTCCACTGTGACAATGCATCTGCCGATATTACCTTCTTTTCAACTAAGGATGAAAGCCATGGTGCAATTAGAGCTAAAATGAAAAAAGAAAAGTGTACCGCATTGATAACTATATACTGCGTGTACTGGGCATTTGTTGACATTCGTCTAGAAAATGCCGTAGTTTGAAAATAAATCAACACCTTACTGAAGATCAATCAATAGTGCGTTTGATATTTCAACCGATTAAATACGTGTATTTACCTTTATTAATCGAGGAGTCCTGGAAACCGGAAAGGACATGAAATTCTTTGTCAGGTTTGTGATCAATCAAAATGTGGAGAGACATCACAGTTGCGTCAATTCCCGTCTTTGACTGATCTAAACGTTGAACATATGACAAAAAACATGATATAATGATAATAGGTTATGTGAAACAATGTAGATATATTAATATTACTCGCCGTTTTGACTGAACTAATTGCCTCAATAAACACCATAGATAGTGGTATATATATATATATATATATATATATATATATATATATATATAAGTGCGTCAAGTGGGTATATCTAAGCAACTATGATGATAAACAGCAATTCAAAACACATACGAAGTTCACATATTGCTGAGATAAAAGATGAAGTAAGCTGTCTGTAAATCTACTGAAATGCGTTTTACCTAATCCTTACTTGACTTATTAATCAGAAATTCAATGGCCAGAAAAGATTTCCGAAATAAATCATTGCAGAAATTCCATATCGATTTGCAGAGCAGGACATAGAAACGATTGCCAAAAATAATCAGTTATTCAAATAGAATATTATGGTAATTTACAAAAGGAAAGCATGAAAAAATGTTGCTAAGGGCATTAATAACTTTGAAAAGATTAACATACCGGAGGATTTTAGGAGAACTGGCATTATCGACTGCATGAACCACTTAGATAGATTACTTTGAGACAATTCATTGAAGTACATGCGTACCTTTTCAGAGGAAACGGAAGGATTCGAGACAAGATCGGTAAGCTCCCTGAGTTTTTTGCATTCAAAGTCATAGACACCAGCCATTGTGAACTCTATAGATCGCTCGTATACAAAATTCCAGGTTTTATCCGATGGAACGCCAAGTTTGGCCCACATGAAATTACAATTTCGAAGTTTTAACACTAACTTATCAATAGTTGTATTCTTTTTGCTTAATGAAATACAATGAGCCATCAACTTAGAAGCTCGATCATCAGAGCGAATGGGTTCTACTAGCTCCAACAACACAGCCATATAATCCGATTCCCCGGAAATAAGATGATGGAGAATTTCTGCTATATACAACCAACCTTGGGGATAATCAGCAGCCCAATCTGAATCACAAAATTTGAAGAAATTTTCACATCTGAAAAAGTAAAAGGGTATGTATTGAAGTACTGATCATACGATGTATGTAATTAACGTAGGAATAAAGGTGCAGAAGTGGCACGAAAATACAACACTTCAGGTCCAATGAAAATAATGATACTGAAACTTTAAAAAATTGCAAGGAAATGAGCGATATTTGATATTGAGGTTTTCCATAGCCTGGTATACACAATTTAAACTGTATCTTATTGGAATAAAAATATCTGAATTTTGGAAAATAAAAAACTCACGCTGTAATGATATCACTTTCTTTGAGGACTTTCTTGCGGAGTAAATCTACACACAAATGACCAGTTGAGTGACGCTCTTTAGAAGTCCGATCCATTAAAAGATCGAACATATTGTGGAGCAAAGCTGGCCGTTCATTGGGTTTACATTCAACAACACAGTCATGCTAAATGAGGATGGTAAACAAAAAAACATGGCGTTTGTAGGTCATAAAATGCATTCAACTCATTTGCAACACAAATGTAGTGTTTACTCAATAACGTACAAGTGCATGGAGGACCTTGAACACCAGAATCTGTCAAAACACATATTATTTCATGTTTATGTACTATTCTATTCTCATTCTAGAAATACCACTTCCTCGAAGTTTCACAAAAACAAGATTTTTAAAGGATGGTATTTTTTCACTCGAAAACTTATGTGGGCTAGTTTACAAACAGCTACACAAACTTGTATAGCAAATTCAAAATGGCGAGTAATACTTTTGAAATACTGGCACTAATTAACAATGGATGTGGGATTTTAATGGGCACCGTAATTAAATCATAGTAAGCATGTTTTATTCGACTCCCTGGTATCAACTTAACGTAAGTTACGCTTTCATAGCTCTCACAATACCATAATCTATACACTAAGGCAGGTGACTACATTGACAGAATAATTATTCAGTTGTCAACTCCTGCAATTACGTTGGGTGATCAACCATTTTTCATACATTGCTACTTCCCAAATGCTCTGATTTATCTTAATTACTTACCGACAATAACGTCTGAGCTTCTTCAGCATTTAACAAACAGATAACCCCCCACCCACAGATATATGTAAAACTTTGATGAGGAGCTGACTTGTTATTAAATACAGATGTCTACTTAGGGAACAATTTAACCAAAAAATGACTGAAGTGAACAAATTCGTAAATATTGTAATTAAAATAAACACTTTTAATTCTCGAAAGATGTTATTGAAAGTGATACTGGTTATATTCCGAACCACCTGGTTGCTTAGTCACTAAGGTAGGAAATCACGAACGTATCCTGAGATTCAGATGGTTGGTTGAAAACAGAACAGGCTATGAACACTCAACAAAAGTATTTTGCTCACTCAAGTAGCGTGTCGCCTTATTAACATCAAAAATAATGTACTAAACGCACGGGACTCGTACGAAAAAGTAACTTCATAATCATAGAATGACAATAAAACAATGCCTAATTTATGCCATTAACATGTATCAGAGAAAAAAGGACGTACACATTCACTTTCAGAACGTGAAACCGTTTCTACTACGGTGCGTGCCATTCGTTTTGTATCCTCCAGCATTGAATCATAATCTTTTTGTTTCGGTTTTTGTATAACTGGCAAAGGATTTGCCCACGCACCTTGCGGCCCAGGAGGCATACGTGGGGATGATTCACGAGAACGATGAAGCAATGAATTTTGTTGACTCTGCTTGGTATGACTAAATGCACAATAAAGGAAAACAGGAAACCAAGTGATCCAATGCTCAAAGACTACATGAAAAACAGGATGGCTACAATTTTACATCATATATTCGCATAAAGCAACAACATTGTCCGACATCTACTGTCGTCATATATATTTAACAGAGTTAAGATTTCCTGTGATATGGAATTTTAGTATAAAGAGTATGTGAAACGCACAGACATATCAGGCGATTGTTCTCCACACAAGTCCCATGCAATCTTATACAGTATACCGAGCATACCAAACCACTAACTTAATCTCCCATAGTCCCGTGAGATTAGCATAAGTTATCAGATGTCCACAATCTATGTTCACTTTCATAGTGATGGTAACTGCTTCGATGCAGTAGCTTACTGGTTTAGGCACTCGACACTTAGTAAATGGATTTTGATTTTGAAACTTGCTGTCTTTATTTCGTTCTGTGTATTTGGTTAGTATCATCATTCCTCAGACGATTAGTGTTGGTTGTCATCTCGATGAGATACCTAACCGGCCAGATGAAATGACTGGTGACAACATGCAATGATCGACGTTACAAAGATGATAATTGAGCATTTTGCCAATATCATGAACTAATCATTCACCAAGATCGATGTAGCTTTACAAACACTAGGCGAATTTCGCATATATGGAGTTCTTAAAGTGGTACACAATAAACTTTTAATGGTGCAAGGTCCAGGTTACGTATGTCAAGCTACTTTGTTTTTCCAATACTAGAGATTTCAATAGTTTTTTTAGGTAACCTGCTGTCTACCTTGCTTCAGTTTTTCCTTCTGAAATAGGGAGGTTTGAGGAAAAGATGCTGCAGTATTCTGGTAAAGAAAGTCATGAGTTCGGAATGTCGTAACACGAATTAAAGCTGCAGAAACTACGCTTATTTTACTTTTGATAGGCACTCCTGTATTAAAACGATTTTGTTATAAAAATATACTAGTAGCAAAAAAATAGTAACATAAAACTTGCCTGTCTTCAGAGGGACGAAGCAGGCCACTTCCTTGTGTCCAATTCGCTACCGTAGGTCCAAGTTTCCGAGAATCATAAGACTGTGGTGTCACAGCCAAACTAGAAGGAGTAAGTGGATTCACAGATTGCACCGATTTACGCTCTGAAAATTGAAATAAGTCTATAGTGAACTTACTTGGATCTGGTGGAATGAAATTTCTCCTTCCCTTGTCATCTACATTTCGTCTAGAAGTATCAATCTGTGGTTGAAGTTGTGTCGTATCCATTGGTTTCCAACCACGAGATCGTAATTCTACGAGCTCTTGTACTTTGTACATTTGATGAGTTTCTATTTTTTTCGAATCTTTATATTGTTCGAGTCGTTTAAAGCATGAATCCAAAATGGTTTTGCAATTTTGTTCAAGATCCTTGCCACACAAATTTAGGAAAATAATAAGTGAAGGCAGTGCTTCTGGTTCTGAGGAATCCCTCAGTTTTTTCAAGCATTCCGTTATGGTTTTTATTGGAAGAAATCCAGTGAGATAAAGTTCAGCAATAAACGTTATATTCCCGTAATAGGATTCTGTTTTTTTTAGAATACTGGTTTCACGATCCTCTTCAAACATTCTTTTCACTGAATCGTCCTTAGCTGAAGCAATTTTAGCGTCGATAGTGGTATTTAATTCGTTTATGAGGACCTAAAGCGTAACTAATTAATATTAAGACATACCTCTAGTCGTTTGTGGAACAACTCTTGTGTTAGTTGTAAAATAAGGACCGAAAATCGTTCTGAACCTTGTACTTCGAACTAAAAACATTAAAATGATTCATGTAACCTACCCCTTTGAGTTGCTTGCACAGATTCGCAAATACCTTACTGTATTTGGACTGTCTAATACCCTGAAAAACAAGACCACACAAACTTATAAACGAACTGCTTTTACTACCATGAATCAAAAACTTCGCATCTGGGATAAATACTGTCATATTGCAAATGTTTAAACTTCAGAGTCAATTTTTCCGCACTAAGAGTTGTGTGCATTTACACAGTAGGTTGATATCACTTTAAAACCACTCAGAAAAGCACAATCCATTCAGGAAAACGATAATTCAGCATGTCCATATTAACATACTGAACATCAAGACTCATCGAAGGATACAGGCTTCAAAATTTTTTCCAGCCTTGAATATGATATACGGTAGTTAGGCATTTCGCCACAAAAATCACTGAAAACATCTTCGGCGAACACGCTAATCAAGTTTCTTCGGATTGTCTTTCAGACCGGAACTACCTTTTAAATCCTTTCGGTCTTAGTCACTTATTATTCATCTAATACAATCTTCTTGAGTGGTGTCAACCATAAGTTATCAGGTTCCTGAGTATTTGCATGAGGATAGGTTCAACCCGACGGCTGCGTAAATCAACCTCAATACAGGGCCGGTCATTGTTTACGAAATACCAGTGGTTTGACAGAAAACTACTATCAAAAGCGTTGAACATACATGAGCACGCTTCTCTATCGCAGATACCTCAGCTTAAATTTATCATGTTAAGTTTGATCGCATAAATTGAGTTTTTTGTTTAATATTCAAAATGTAGCACTTCATTTAGTATCCAAGGCTGACTGGAACCACTTATTCCACTCAATTAGTTTCATAAGTGGGACGAACAACTTCTCGTTATCTTATGTATGCCAAACTAGAACACTTGCCGCTGTCCTCAAAAGCGTCGTGTCTACATTCGAGCGGATCCCTTCGCACAGACAGACCTCACACATGTCAGCATTTAGAAACTGGCCAAGCTTAAAATCTGACAGGTTTGTATGCAGCTAGTGCAAATCAAACGCATATATCCACCTATGAGAAGTGCAAAGTGAGTAAAAACCCATCATCATAATAACGAGCAATGCAACTCTACCATAATACTACGCAGAAAACCACTACGTAGGTTACCTTACAGATGCAACAATTCATTAACAATTTAGGCACTTATAAGAATGAATGCGGCTCAGGAATTGCAAGCAGTAAACAAGTAGACTTACCTTTTGAAATATTGTCTTTGCCAACAGATTGAGATCATCGGGTGTCGATATTTTAAGCATCTTGATATCATTTATTGTTTCTTGGATGTTGTTATCCGACACTCGATTAAGGATAATGTTTAGCTCCTGGGCTATATTTTTAGCATCTGTTACACCATTTGCATCCTGACTACGCAGTTTTGATGGAACAAATGCACCTTCGACACGTTTTACAGTAATGGTTTTAAGCAGTTTGATGACTTTATTTCTAGGCCCATGGTTTGATCTCGTGCGACTCATCTGCAAATACAATTTATCTTAAGGAATACTTACCTTCATGGCATTTGCGAACTGGTTCATAATTGCCTATACATTAAATGTATTAACAAATATTAATCTTACCTGAATCCCTTCCAAAGTAATCAGTGATGCCGAATCTTTGCGACCAAGAATGAAGTCTCGTGGGTATCTATTTCTTCCCATGACTTCCTCCTCCTCCTCCTCTTCTTCTTCCTCCTCTTTCACTTCTTTATCCTCTTCTGCATCATCCCAATCTACGACATCCTCTTGTGACGAGTGTTCCTCCTTTGACTTGTTGCATTCAGATACCTCGACACGTGTTATTTCTGAGACGATATCCTTCGTCTCGCAATCCTCATGTGATACTGTTTCGGTACTTGATATGCCCTCGTCCTTAAAATCAGCACAAGATTTTTCTGTTTCTTTTTCCATAATCGGTGGCGATTCATCTAATATGAGCTGGGGTAACAAAGGTAATCTTTTCCGTGGTTCTGAAGGAGATTTTGAAGCTTCTTCTAGATTTACTGCAGATTTGGTCTGTGGGTCAATCACATCAAGTGGTCTTCTCTCTCTGACTGGTATAGACATGCTGTCACTTGAAGTATGGATTGCATTTGACTGATTTGGGATATTCGCAACTTGGGGTACTAGGGGGCTGAAGTTAAGTTGGTGCTGAAAATGTCCGTAATCAGTATGAGCCGCCATACTCATGTGTTCATGCTGCTGGACCTCAAAGGGCATGGGACAAAAAAAACGGTTGTAATCCGCAGATGTAGCGATGATCCATGTTGCGGATAGGATAGAATGGGCCTTGAGCCGTCGGCATAGCTACATTTTCTAAGAAAGTGTTAACAAAGCTACAAACATACCTAAACGTGAACCTGGCTGAGGCTGTAAAAACAAAAAGATACATAAACCAGTTATGTAGAGAAGAAAAAGAACCCAACAAACTATAACAAAACTAGTATCTTACAGGCCTAGTGCACTCGATAGAACCGAGTGGAACTACTGGTTTCAAAAATACCTGACATGAGTATGGAAAATACATCGAGTTATAAGATCAGCAGCATCAACTTACGAGATATGGCATTGCCTAAATATAAATGTCAACAAGCGTGTTTTAACCTACCATGTGCTGAGCGTCAGTTGGCCTGCTACTGCTAAAAAAATCAAGTAAAACTGTTTAGTGAAGTGATTTTGAACATACACAGGCAAGTTGTACATGTTAGGAAACGGAATAGACTGCTGATCACTCATGGGACTGCATCTACCAACATGCAGAGTGAAAATAATAAGTGTGCCCACCCTAACCACGGAACCTCACAGACGTGGCCATCAATGCATTAAAACAAATAAGTTTGCTAGACATGCCAAAAATTACCTAGGTTGGTATCTACACCGGCATTACTAGCTTTAAAGACTGAAAGGGTTTATATTCATTTTATTCTGTATGTAAAACACCAACATCTGCATAATTCAAAATGATCAGATATCGATTATTACACTGCTACCCCCCTTACAATCGCTGTCCTCAAATGCACATTTTTTGCAAATTTTTGGGTTGCATTTCTTATAAACTGATGAAATCAAGGAAATGGTCTCCACTTAAGTAAAAAATTAACCAATGACATGAATCATTAAACATTTGTGTTCACAAAAGAAACTTCCACTACGCTTACAAGGAAAAGAGCATTTAGAATTCTTTGAGTTTTGGCTTCCCATTACTAGTATGTGTTCTTCTTTGGCTCACTGAAACAGCGAGAGAGAACATCTAAAGTGCCGTCTCATCTGAATACATAGATACCAACTGTCCGAAACAGAGTTCCACAATATACACTTTCTGCACTAATATTATCAAATCATTACGCGAAAGTTTCCGAAAATATTATGGAAAAGTCTTCACAGCCTCTCCAGGCTAGAGCTCCGCATCACGGATTCTTTCTACCAGTGCTGTCGACACACCAAATGACTCCTCATGTTATGCTTCAGATAGTAAATTGTACATTTACTGCTAGGATGTGAGGAAATGTAAGCAATGTGTTAGATCACTGTTACACATCTACAGGTTCGTCGAAAAACTATAACTCAGGCATATTTTTCACTGACCTTAACGACGACCAACAAGTAAGAAGTCGATGTGCTGATGTCTTAACAAAAAGTGCATCCACAAAACCCTCAAACCGTTTATAAGCGTGAGGGGTTTATGCAACAGTCAACCACGGAGTTACGTATCTTTTGTGGTACTTCTAATTGTAAATGTGGGGCGTGACTCGTGCTCTACGTATCCGAACAACCTACAAATATTTTTTGTCGTATTATATTGACACAGGCTTGAATAGTAGCTCATCAGATGAAGACTATACCAAGCCTAGAACTGGCTGCAGTCGTCTTTGTGACGAGGAGTATCCATATGCCTTCCGGTAACGACATAACCTTCATAGCAATGGCATTTGGACTTACCCAGAAACTGGTTTGCAATACACGGGTTATTTGTAATCAGCCGGGCTTCAGTAGTGTATAGGCTTATTCGATTGTCTCGTTGGAGACATTTGCATTAGATAAGAGATGCAGCGGGCTTTACATTTGGTGTATTATCTTAAGATGTAGTTCCGGAATTCCCCATTTTTAAGTGGTCCCGAAACAAAATGGTCAACCTCTGACAATACTGTGGAACAGAGTAGCAATCTGTTAGACATAAAGGCTGAGGAGGCAGTAAAAGTCACAATTAATGATTTTGACTTGAAATGGATTCTGTATTCACAAACTGAATATTATTATAACAAGAGTTTTGATTCATCAGCTGCTATCCCTGGGCGTGACACATTGTACATACCGTACGTAACACTTCAAACGGATTCTTTGATAAGAAAACACTGACATACGAAAATTTTGCGACTTTATTAGTGGAGGCCGGATGTATTACAAATAACAGACATCTGGTCCCGCAAAATTTGGACACTGGTGAGCTTGAAGTCCTGATGTATACTTAGTTACTATTGCTACAGAAGAAGTCGTTAGATATCAGCATTACCCAGCATGATAATAGGTTCTCTCAACTAATTATTGAAAGTATTTTGGAAAAGCTGGTTCTTAGTATAAGTTTGTTTTAGAAATGACAAAAATGGTTGGATACTAGGAGGAATGTACTTTCTAGCAACTTAGTTATGGCACTAGAAATTTACTCATGGGAACCAATGACAGCTAGGTCTTGAGCAACGGACGTTGCCTAGTGAACATGTATTTGTTAGACAGTTGAAAGCGAAGATAGAAAAGGGGTTAATAGTCAAAGACTTCTAATTGTGCCAATGAACAGCCGTAAGTATTACGTTCTCCTTCCATTCTTTGATTGGAGGCTGCTCAAGAGCTCCCTAACCACCATGCATGGCTGAGGTAGAACAAGAAGTCGGCCAGTTATGTGACCAAAGCACAATTACGGCAGGATAGATGGTCACACACAGATTATGGGAATTGATTCCAGATGAGACCAACAGGAAAGTTAACCGGCCCCTTGGAAATTTATTATGGAAACAATAATATTATCATGTTATTTGCGATATTCTTTCACCGACTTCTTCAATTGCCAGTGATGCCCTTGCTGGATGTATTGAGTGCAATAAACGTCCAACCACAGAAAAACGTTGTTTTTATGGCGGCTTATCCCTGCTCGGTCAACCTCTGTTTGCCACTACAGAGCTGGAAGAATATGGCGTTTTTTCATAGTTCAGTGGTGTCGAATTCGTCGGCTGTGGAAACACTTTCAGTGATTCTTCTCGTCCAGGTCCTGTAGTGAAGTTGCGGAGTTTCTGGGTCGATAAAATGGTGAGAAACTGGATTCGGGACTCGCGCAGGGACAGAAAATACAGGGTAATGATAAACGACATTTCATCACCGTAGCAACCAGTGAAGAGTGGTGCATCTCACTGTGTATTTCTGGGCCCTTCTCTGTTCATACTTTATGAGAATAAGAAACAGATGACAATTATACCATCCTATCTATTGTTCTCCAACACGGTAAGTCTCTGCAGGGCTTTAGAAAAAGCTCTGCGACAGGATTTAGGTCTGCTTGTTGAAAGATGTAATATTTGGCCCTTGAAAATTGACGCAATAATTCGCGCTGTTATGCATGCCACTCTTAAAATCATGTAAGACTTTTCGACTGGCGACTTCGCTCTGCCTATGATCATCAAGTATAAGGACCTAAGAGTGATTCTGAAAGTCGGTTGACTACTGAGCAGAGGTTTCGAATGTCTGGAAAATGCTGCGGGCTCTTTGTTAGACGCTGATATATTTCGCAAATCATGTCTGACCAAAATCATGCGGTTTTCGGATAGCGAGCTCATGTTTTGAATTTGAAGTGGATGTAGTAAAAAGGTTCAAGGGCTGTGGACTACATTCACCGACGTAGTCTCAAATCTTTGACATATAGAAAGATTTATTTGTCTACTCTCATACTAGTGGTTGAGCGCTGAACCTATTCTAATATTCCTCATACTGTGTCCAGACTGGGATGCTAATTACTCCTGTCTGCCTTCTCCATCCCCTTTCGGAACCGGACACTCATATGAACATCACACCAAACCACATCCGAGTCGTCCACTTGTGGTAGCTGGCCCTGCATTGTGGATAAATGGAATTTCCTGTCGGATCATTTTTCTTAACTTTTCATTGGTTCATTCAAGCCAAGGTTGAACCTAAGCTGCCTGAATCCTAGTATCCTGATTAATCTAAGATTGTTGTTGTAGCTGAAGACATATAGGACCCCATACATAGCACCAACGAAGGAAAGACAGATTTGAAAAGTACCTGCAGCTCAGGCAGTTTTAAATAGCCTAATAAACAGCTACGGTCAGAACAACGGGTTTTGTTGACCAAGGGTTCACTTAGTAGGTTTAGAATTAGGGGCGAAGGCTTCAAGAAGGCGATTAGTTTTTCCACAATTCAGAGAGACAGAAATGAGTAGCTAGTTAGAATCCACATCTCTATTTTTTGTAAGATTTTGATTACATATAGAACCTTACTGATAATGATTGCTATTTTCACCTCAGTAAGAAGCCACTTAACTTGCGAGAAAAATAGATAACGTCATGAATCGCTAATAATTCTGGCATATGTGTCGTTTTATATAACTGGAAGAAAATGTCTGAGTTCAGTAAATTACTACGTGGAAAATAAAGTTTTTTTGTTGAAGCGTATGCAATCAGCTTATTCTTACAATACGACAAACCACTGTTTACTGGGTCATACTAGAATTTCAGTGCTGGACCAAACGATCACTGGTCATTTCAAGTTTGGAGGCTGAAAGTTTTACTTTCATAGGATACAGATTATGGCGTATAACTAAAGGGGGTAAAGGTGAGAAGGTAGCAAAACTTAGTGAATTAGTAGTTTGTTGAAATACGAAACGTACCAGGAAGTGTGTGGTGCTAAGTCTGTTCTATGGAAAGTCCTCGAATTTAGCAGTTACTTTCAGGTACTATATTGTGATACAAGTTATTGTTTGATGCCATGAAGGTTAGAAGCAAATGAATTGCAGGAATTCTCTAGCTACAGATGAAATTTGCGATGGGTCTGGCTCAAAACCATGTGGCACAAACAGCAAAGTATTTTTCCATAAACATGATGGAGCCCCTAACCTGATTTCTGACGTTAACACTATGAGAAAATAGCTGGAGAGATGACAGATTACCTCTAGAGAACTTTCACAAACGACTCGTCATTAACCAAAGTGTCAACTCTGATCG